CAGGAAAAAGTCAGGTTTAACCTGAAAGATAGCCGGACGATAGCGTCCTGGACTTCTGTCTTTATGATTAGTTCTAATTATGCTGGTTCAGCTCTCTCTGTAATTCCCACGGAAAGACTACACATCGGTGATCCTCGGTCCTGCATAACATGTCGCATTAAAGGGAATGCGTCGTTCTGTCTAGTGAATGCTTCAGTATTTCACACTATGAACAAGTCGTCTCTGCTTGCATGAACTACCACGAAGCCCTGGTTACCCAGCGACTTCGTAACCTAACGATTTGTGTCCGCGTCCTCAACACTGTCCTAGGTTCCAGTGCCGCATCCTCCACAATATCCCTGAATTGCGACGACAGAGACATTCTAGTCAACTGAAATTCCGACATTCTACAGCCCACAACTGCACCTCCTCTGCAACGTTATTTCTGCGATCTCGCAGTCATACATGTCGGGTTCATTCATATATGGGCATTTAAAATAAGAATGACAATACATATTTTCGAGCTAAATCCAATTAGGTGGTCCAGATAACGACAAACAAAAGTTATATATCTGCATATATATGCATATTTCGAAAGAAATAAGTTCTTCGGGAGAGACAAACTAGTCCAATTGTAAATTATTGACCTTGATTACCCAAGTCACCTTCAACCGTGAAGTAGGTGTGCAAAATAGTTAACATTTGAACGTGCCTAAAATTGATTTGCCCTGTCACTTCTGCTGGCATAATGTCCTGATTGGCCAATGCCTTTTCCACTTCTTTTTGAGGCTGCTGTACACCGCATCCAATTCTACGTGTCGGTTGATGCATGAGTTATCAGAATGGATGGCCTCTAAACGTTCACGGCCCTTCCTAGAGGAGTAGACACCTACGATGCGAGTCCTGTCCCAGTCGAATTTGTGTCCAGTTTCCAGCGTATGCATGGCAGCTTGGGACTAGCGGTCTCGCCTATTTACGACCACCCGATTTTCGTGTATTCGTGCAGAGGCCGATTTTGCAGGTTGACCGCAGTGAACCGCATTACAGGTGTTGCATGGTATCATAAAGACTACTTCCTTCTTGTATAAATAGCCACCCCTATCCTTAGGGTGCATAAGCTGGTTTCGAATTCTAGTTGTCGGCTTATGCGCTTCACGTAGTTGGTGCTCCTTCAGGTGTCTTTCAACTAGTTCGGACACATTCTTAATGTGCGGAAGTGTTCGCCAGTTTTTTCAGTTTGGGCGCCTGATCGGAACAATCTACTTCCTTGTCCTTTTCTTTTAACTCCTGTCGTTTCATGCATCGGTGCAAAAAATATCTAGGATGTCCATTCCGGCAAAACAGATTGAAAAAAATATTTAGTTCTGTTTGATAGGTTTCGTTGTCAGAACAGTAAGTTCTTGTTCGGTTAATGATTTTGTTCCCAGCGCTTCTTTTGTGAGGGATCGGGTTATTGCTATCGTAATGTAAAAGGATTTCCGCCTAGGTTACCTTGCGGTAAACCAAAGTGTGGAATGTCCCGACGGCCTTTCTCGATACGAGGATATCAAGAAACGGGAGTTTGTTGTCAGCCTCTTTCTCGGGTGTGGAACGGATTCCTGGAAGTGTCGCCTGCCTTACTGATCCTTTCAGGACTGCCTTGTAAGCAGCGCCTGTTAGGCGGGGTGTAAATCTATAGCTCGGTTGAGTGTACCAGCCGAGGATTAGCTTTCGGGATACGATCTGCCCATATTCTCATTGGCTCGAACAATTGGCCTCGCTTTCTCAAAGGCAAAACCGTGGTTCAGCTCTCGTATGTACCCATAGACCAAAGACAGCTTGTCCTTGCGGTTTGTTGCAAGTTTGTGTTCGTGCAGTCTTGTACCTAGGCGTATGCCCGTTTCACCAAAATACCTCGCACTGCAATTCAAGCATGGTATGCTGTAGACCACATCTGACCGTTCTGCTGTTGGAAGCGGGTCTTTGGGCTTCATGATTTGCTGTCCGATGGTGCATTCTGGTTTATGAGCCATGCCAATCCCAAAAGGTTTCAGGATTCTCACCGTCGTCTCTGATACGTTCTTCACATATATTATTGAGAGCTAGAACTTGGGCTTTTCTCCTCTCGACCGTTCAAATTAGGCTTTTTGATGCAATTGCGTATAATAGACTGTGGTTGGCCGCTGGCTTTAAAAATGGCCTGCAAGTAATTCGCCTCCCCCTTCTTCCCACTGTCGTCGGTACAGTGTGTTTGAACAGGTTGAAAGAGAGTTCTGACACAACTGCCTTTATCGTCCCGTCTGCGATTTCGTAACTTGTACGTCCTGGAAGGACAATTGATTGTTGACTTCCCCCTCCACAGTAAACTGAATGTCG